CCTATTACTAGAAAATAATAGACTAGCCAGAATATATAAAGACAAAAAAAACTAAGAAAAAAAAAGATAGTCAATTTAAATACACTACAAGATTATTAAGAATTTTAGAAAGAGTATTAGAAATATTGCTTTTAGAGTATATTAGAGAAAGAGGAGAAAAGCAATATATATTTTAAGAAAAGAAATAAATGAATAAAGCAAGCAGCAATTATTACTTTTAAAAATAAAGCTGTTCTAAGAAGAGCATTAAGCAAGTCAATCAAATATAATAGCTAACTATTGAACTAAAAACAAAAACACAGATATGATAACTATTCACAAAGCTCAGATAAAAAAATATAGAAAGAAAAATCTCGATAACTGAAATCAGATATAATAGAAAATTAAACAAAAATAGAGCTATATATTAAGAGAATAAGTTAAGTAGAAGAGCAAGACAAACATGAATCAAGCTTAAAAAAAAATAAAAACAACAAAACTAACTACAAATAGAATAGCAAAGATTTTGAAGCAAATATTTTAAACAGAATTGATAAACACTACGTAATATTATGAAAAATATTAAGAAGGTTAGACTAACTAAGCAATGAGCAGATAGATCCTGCTTAACACTTCTAAAAGGAGACCTGGTTATATATAAAGAATCTGGTACAGAGACTATTCTTTTTCAAGATGCAATTAGAATATACTTAATAGCAAAAAAAGAAAAATTTTTAGTTAACAAAAAATACTATATAAGAGAAAGAAGAAAAAGACAAGATTAGATAATATAATAAAGCAAGATTTTAATAGTTTAAAAATCAGATTTTATAATATAAACAGAATTAAGTTATACAAAAACAAAATAAAAATAATTATAGATTATATGAAAAATAAAGATATCAATATAATAGAGTTAACAAAAACAAATTTGTCAGAAATAGAAGGCAGATTCCTAATCAAGAAGAAAGAATTTATATGGCTTTTTGATTAACAGCAAAGGAGAAAAAGAAAAAAGGTTCAGAAGTTGGTGTTTTAATTGATAAACAATGAGAAAATATATAGTCAAAATAATAAGAAGAGTCTATATATTATAGATATTATCATAGATTTTAAAGAAGTTATTATCAATATTATAGTAGTTTATATTGTACTAAACAATCAAGAAGTACAAAAAAATATCAGAACATATATAAGAAGAAGAGCAGATATACAAAATAAAGAAAACAGAGTTGATCTTTAGTATAGGTGAGCATATATAATTATTATACAATTATAATATATATAATTTAACTATTTTGAACTAATTTAAGTAATTTTATAAATTATTAAGATAAGAGTTAAGGTTAGAGTTTAAATTAGCTTAAATTAGTTAAGCTTTATATATTATAATCTTATAATAATTTATATATACCCACTTATACTAAAGGAGATCTGAAAACAGCAAAGATTTATAATTATAGAAGATTTCAATACAAATCTGAATATTACAAAAAACTAGACAACTAAAAGAAAAGCTAATATAAAGAGAAAAATAGTAGAAGAATTAAAAATAAAAGGTTTGATAGATAGGTTCAAAGAAACTATTTCAGAAAATAAAGTAGCAATATAAAGTAACTACAAAGCAGAGTTAAAAATAGATATGAGTTAGTTAAACAAAATCTAAATAAATAATATAATACAAAGAAGGTAGCTGACATGATATATATAGTGATGTGAATTCTACCAAATTGGCATGTTTTTACTAGTATCTACTAGTAGGTGATAGCTACTAGTAGCTACCACTACCGGTAGTTTATTAGTTACATAATTTATTTGACAAATCATATACTTTTTGATATTTATGATTAATTATATAATTTAAAATTTATTTTATTATTTTATTGATATCTACTCTGCATATAATTTGCCTACTGGTATCTACCATTATCTACCAGTAGATACCAGTGGTAGATTCCTACTGGTAGCTACCAACTCACATCACTAGATATATATAATAGAAAGCAACTATAAAGTAATAATTCTAAAAATAGAAATAGAAATTAGTATGAAGAAAAGAAGACAATTAAGAATAAAATATCTAGAAAAGAAAAATTAAACATTGATATAAACAAAGTTAGCAAGTAGGATTAGAAGAACTATAAAGTGAAACTTGATAAAAAAATAAGAAAAAGTATTTAAAAGATCAGCAGAAAATAACAAAAAATCAATAAATAGAATAATCAACTACAAAGTCAAGTTTTAATAACTAAAAAAACCTTTAGTAAGTTAAAGTTAAACAATATGTAGGATATAATAGAATCTGTAATTAAAATAGCAGCATTAAGCATACTATTTAAAAAAAAAAGATACCAAAATAATACTATCAGCAAAAAGTAATAAAATATTAAAAAAAACTATAGCTTAAAACAAAAAAAACTTAGCAAATAGTATTATAGACTAAAGAAAACAGGTTACTTCAACATGTCTGAAGCAAGAAAACAAGGTTTGAATAAATATGAATCAAAAACAAGTGAAAAATAAAGGAGCTAAATTATTCAGCAGATCATAAAAGTTTAGAATTATCGAGAAAGATTATATATAAAAAATGACAAGCAGAAAGGCAAACTAAAGAAGAGAAAAAAATAGAAAAATATATTTAAAAAAATGATATAATAATGAAAAACTAGAGAAAAATAATTAATAGCATATTAGACAAATATACAGAAATATAACAATAAAGATAATAGTGAAATATAAAGATAAAATAGTAAGGCTGAAGAAAAGCTGATAAATGAACTAAAAGAGTATTAAAAAAGTAAGAAAACATTTTTAGAAACAGTTTTGAAAGAGAATACTATAGCAAATAGACTACTAAAAAATTAAAAACAAGATATAAATCAATCAAAAGAGTAAAGGAATACTGATATAAGAATATTAAAGAAAAATATCTACAGAAGAATAAGCAAAAGCCTTAGAACAAACTAAGAATATATCTGCATCAAGTCTGACAGATATAATATACTATATCTACTTATCAAGCATATAAATATTTATATAAAAGAAATAGTTGATCTTTAGTATAGGTGTGTATAATTATTATATAATTATAATACAGTCTTCCTCCTCTATAATCACCTCCTATATAATCACAACACTATACAATCACATTAATTTTTAAGACAATTTATTAAAAAACTTATAAAAAAGCTTCTATATAATCACACTCTTTTATAATCACCAATTTTCTTGATACAAACTGTGTGATTATAGAGGAGGAAGACTGTATATATAACTTAACTATTTTGAACTAAATTAAGTAATTTTATAAAATATTAGGATCAGAATTAAGGTTAAAATTTTTTTTTTTTTTTTTGGCAATCCTGCCTTTATTATTTACATTGGAAGTATCAGAACTTTACATTTATGCTAAATATAAATTTTCTATATTATATTCTAATACTAATAAAGACTCACTCGGCTTTTTAGCCCAGGTGCGACCCGCCTAAGTAGCCAAATTTGCTTCACGTTAGATCCTCAACTTTCTGAGGATTTGGTTCTTTCGATCCTTAGCTGGGAGCTGCCGACCTTGTCAGAAATCACCAATTTCTGCCACAATTGGTCCAGGAGGACCAATTTGGTTTTACACGATATTGAATTAAATTTTGACTATTTTCTTTTGCTAGATTTATGACTTGCTTTTCTTTTTCCTTTTGGGCCTTTTCTGAAGCTTCTTTCTCTTTAGCCCTAATTTCTTGGTTATTTGATTCTTTCAAAATTCTCTTTTTTCTTGGTCTCTTTTTTTTCTTGAGGTCTTTTGTTATTTCATTCTCCTTTTCCCAGTCATTTAGTAGTTCGCATCTGAAGTTCCATATACAAGTCCTAAACCTTTTGTCGAACTTCTTTTTAATCGTGTTCATTACCTTGCGTAATATATTTGAATCCTTGAATTCCTCATTGATTTCTATCTTCTTCTTCTTGGTTATAAGGCTTCTTACTAAACATCTTCTTGTTTTTATCCTTTCTTCTTGAGTTTTGCCAAAGAAAAGGTCTTTAATTGTCTTTTTATCATTAAGGTTTCTTGTAGCGCCTTCTTTTTGCCGTGTTTTTAGGCCTTCTTTACTAGCTTCTTCTTCAATAATATTCCATATCTTTTGGTATGCTGTACATTCTACAAGGTGATCGATGTCTTCTGCCTTATCTTTGCATATTATACAAATATTTGTTTTGTACACTTCAGGTCTTCTTGTGTTCAGTTCTGTCAAGGTTGGTAAGAGCTCTCCCAAGCACCTAACTTGAAATGTCCACTTCTTGTTTTTTTCCCCACTTGTACAGTTTTTGCCCTTGTTTTTATCTAGCCACCTTCATGTTTCTCTCTAATCTAATTTCTTCTCTTTTTCTCTATTTAACCATCTACTATTTTTATCTAAATTTGCCTATTCAGCATCTATAGTAGCTAGAGCTAATTTGTTTACAACTTTTCTCATTGGACTATCTATTGCGATATCTCTCCACCTTGCTAGTACGCATGACCTTCTTGTCCAAGGCTATATTGCTGTGATCGTTTTTTGCTCTCTTGCTCCTTGTTTTGCCAGTCTGTCTGCATTTTCGTTGTACATATCCCCACTATGCTCTTTAACTTTCTTAAGTTGTATTTTGAGATTCTTTAGCTTCCATGTCTTCTGAATTTGCTGTAAAAGACTTGCATTTTTGAGCTTAAATGCTTCTCTTTCTTTTTCTTTTCCATATTTATTCTTAAGTGCTTGTATGGTGGCCAGGCTATCTGTATAAATTGTTAATTCTGCATCTTCTGATGCTACTAAAGATGCTATTCAAATAGCTCCCAACTCTGCTCTTGTTGAGGAAGGCCATTCTTTAAATGCGCAGCTGAAACTTGCTTTTTTCTCTTCATCTTCTTTTTTGTATTTGGTAATTGCTACCCAACCTGCGCCCATCTGTGGCCTTTGTATACCATCAGCTCCTTCTGTTTCGTATAGTGACCTGTCTGTATAAAAACTAATTCTTTTCACATCTTGCAGTTCTCATGCAATTGTAATCAAGTCTTCTTGTCTTTCTTTCTCCTTGACTTGATTCTTAATCAGATCTTCAGATAAAGGTCCTATTTTGATCTCATTTAGAACTTCTTGGCTATGTACTGCCTTTTCTGTATCGATTTCCGTTCCTTCTTTCCAACTTAACATTTCTGAGCTAAGTTCAATTTCATAAGTCTTTGAGCTATCTGCTGCTTTCTTGATCCAATTCTTCTTTATTACTCTTCTGTTGCTTCTGAAATTCTGTGTGAATGAGTATTGCATCAGTTCTCTTCCGCCTTCATTTCTGTGACAGCCTTTGCATAGTTGTATTCTGATCTTGCTTTCTTCTTTTTCTGCTGTTCTTGTCCAATGTTCTACAATGAGTATTCTTCTTTCCTTGCCATATTTTCTTCTTATTTTGCCAAATTCGAGAGCATCTTTACCTTCTTCGAGCAGAATCCATTCTCTAAGTCTCTGGTCTAACTTAATTTCAGTTAAAGTTGCCTTTAGGCTCATGTTGTTTCTTTCTGCTCTCTGATATTTTCTTTTAATTGTCCTTGTTCTTTTGTGTTCGATTACTTCCTCTTCTAACCTTTGGAACCACTTTGCCTTCTTTTCTTTCATTTTTGTTCCTCTACACATCTTCATTTGTTTCCATATGATCATCTTTGTGCCACTGCTGTCAAGCAGCTGCACTAGAATGAAGATATTGTAGTTTTTATATTGGAGGAATTTTTGTTTGTCTTCCTCCTTCAGAATGCTTACTAACTCAGTCCCATCCTCTGCCAGCTTGAGATTCTTTTCAATCTCTTCTGAACGAAATGAAATGTTTAATTTTTTGGCCTCTTTTAATACCTGTACATTTAAATTGTTTTGTAATTTGAGTTCGTTTAAGCTGTTTCTGTTTAGTTCTAAAACACACTTGTAGCTTCTTAGGTTGATTTGTGCTTTCTTAAGCTGCAGCCATGTAGCTATTCCTACTTCTTGTTCATTGTTTAGACGAACGAGCAACTCTGTAAAGTGGTATGCAACTTGCCGTTGCCATATAGATTGTAAACCCACTATCTTTTTGTGTATTATCATTGTATTCGGTGTAGTGCTTGGCATTCCAGCTTTGTTTTTAATTAGCTTCAGTATTGGACTTTGAAGTTGGTCACATCGTTGCTTTGGTAGGATTTTTAGCTGTGCTCTAAATTCTATTCTTGGTAAAAGAACCATATTGTTTATGTAAACCATATGTGCGAGAGAGGCCTTCTTCCTTCTAATTTGCTTTGTTACTGTATATACTTCATTCTTAATGATGTCTTCAATTTGCTTGTATCTATTCTTGGCTGCTAGCCATATTCCCAAAAAGCGTGTAAGATCTTTTTCTCTTTTTCCTATTACCACTTCTTTATTCGGGCCAAAGTTAATCTTTTCAACACTTTTCTTATATTCTTTTCCTGGCTTTACAACTAGCAGTTCTGACTTTTTTGGATTTATTTCTATGTCATTAATTTTGTAGAACTCTTCTGCAATTTCTATCATCTTTTCCAAGTCTTCTTTGGTACTTGCTATGTATGTAGTATCATCTGCATATGCTATTACCTCTAT